GCTCAGCATTGTAATGTCTATCGGCCATCAGCGATGGACGATGGCATCATCTAGCGATCCGATCCTGGTGCTGTGCAAAGATAATTCATTCATTCATTCATTCATTTTCTTGTCAACTTAGTCCGCTTATTAATCCGGGGTCGCCACAGCGGAATGAACCGCCAATTTATCCAGCACGTTTTTACACAGAAACACATACACTCAAACAGTACAGACAATTTAGCCTACCCAATTCACCTGTACCGCATGTCTCTGGACTGTGGGGGAAACCGGAGCACCCGGAGGAAACCCACGCGAACGCAGGGAGAACATGCAAACTCCATACAGAAACGCCAACTGAGCCGAGGTTCGAACCAGCGACCTTCTTGCTGTGAGGCAACAGCACTACCTACTGCGCCCCTGCTTCGCCCTGTGCAAAGATTAATCATGATGAATCAAATCAAATGTCATCCTGAGGATCCATAATTAGACATTTTCTTCAAAAGCTTTATGCAATACTAATTGAAAGTTAATTTTGCAACAAAAAAACGGTATACTGTACAAACTACATGATTTAATTTAAGTAAGTGTTTAGTTAAATCATTTCCAGTTCATTTTTATTCCGACGCGAGTGGTTTTGTCTGAGTGGGTGAGCTGGTCAATTCATTAATTAATCACAGTTGCTGTAATTAATTAGTCTGTCCATTTCCACCAGCTTGATGCATTCGGGTCGATTTGCAGACTGGCTACGATCATGACAGATGAGCATTATCACAAGCTAATCACCCAATCACAGCGATGTGGGGGCGGAGCCTAATTCTATCTGACCTTTGTGCTGCATTACAAATGATGAACCCGTCTCCAAAGAGCACTTCAGAGTGAACAATCAGGCCTGAAGGGTCACTACAAACCAAAGCGCTCAAAACTGGCCCCTTCGGTAAAGGAACAGACATGTTTTATAATCTTTGCTGCTTGTTTAATTTGTAACACAGATGTGGGTTCCAGTTTTACTTGTTCCCTAAAACCCTCCATCCATGTGAAGCGCTCACTGCTGAGGGTAAACCCTTAGAAGGGATAAAGTTGATCTCTTCAGAATGAAACACAGCCAGTGTCTGTCTCTGCTAGTTACATGTTCACATTCATTATTAAAAACACACACTTATATTTATATATTTTGTAACTTTTAGAGTCTTGTAGAGAAGCAGGTTTTATTGCTCTGAAGCTTAATGTGATGCTTCCATTAGTGTTGCAGAATTCTGTATCTGGTCATCATACACTGATGATCTGGATATAAATAATGGAGGGGCGACATGGTGGCTCAGTGGTTAGCACTGTCGCCTACAGCAAAAAGGTCACTGGTTCGAGTCCCGGCTGGATCACTTGGCATTTCTGTGTGGAGTTCGCACGTTCTCCCTGTGTTGGTGTGGGTTTCCTCCGGGTGCTCCGGTTTACCCCAGAGTCAACAGACATGTGCTTTACAGTAGGTGAATTGGATTAACTAAAATTGGCTGTAGTGTATGAGTGAGTGTGTAAATGTGAGAGTGTATGGGGGATTCACAATACTGATTTGCAGATGGAAGGGCATCCGTTGTGTACTGTAAAACATATGCTGAATAAGTTGGTGGTTCATTCCGCTGTGGCAACCCCTGATGAATAAAGGGACTAAGCCGAAAGAAAACAAATGAATTAATAATTAAAACTCAAGATGAACTAAAAATGAAAGATTTTTGCTGTGATAATGAATATTAATTTTTCCAAGGTCAAGCAGAAGAATAAGAGAGGTCGCGGTCAGCCAGTTATTGAAACACTGTGTTTTTTACACAACTAAACTAACATGGCTTTGAAATGCATACAGACATTACTTGGTTAATATACAGGGTGGGCCATTTATATGGATTCACCTTAATAAAATGGGAATGGTTGGTGATATTAGCGTCCTGTTTGTGGCACATTAGTATAGGTGAGGGGGTAAACTTTTCAAGATGGGTGGTGACCAGGGTGGCCATTTTGAAGTTGGCCATCTTGGATTCAACTTTTGTTTTTAAATAGGAAGAGGGTAATTTGACACATCAAACCTTTTTGGAATTTCAATCATTCATTCATTCATTTTCTTGTCGGCTTAGTCCCTTTATTAATCTGGGGTTGCCACAGCGGAATGAACCGCCAACTTATCCAGCAAGTTTTTATGCAGCGGATGCCTTTCCAGCCGCAACCCATCTCTGGGAAACATCCACACATACACACACACTTATACACTACGGACAACTTAGCCTACCCAATTCACCTGTACCACATGTCTTTGGGCTGTGGGGGAAACCAGAGTACCCGGAGGAAACCCACGCGAACGCAGGGAGAACATGCAAACTCCACACAGAAACGCCAACTGAGCCGAGGATCGAACCAGCGACCGAGCGACCTTCTTGCTGCCAGCGACCCACTGCGCCGCCTTGGGAATTTCACAAAAAAAAAAAAGTTAAATCCAAGGTGGCCGACTTCAAAATGGCCACCCATCTTGAAAAGTTTGCCCCCTCACCTATACTAATGTGCCACAAACAGGACCTTAATATCACCAACCATTCCCATTTTATTAAGGTGTATCCATATAAATAGCCCACCCTGTATATTAACTGTACATATACAGTGGGGGAAATAAGTTTTGAACACATCATGTTTTCCCGAGAATCATATTTCTAAAAGAACTGTTGATATAGAATTGAGCCAGATTTAGGTATAACCCAAACAATACAAACATAAACAAAACATCTGAATAAAATGACAGAAGGAGAAAGTCCTGAACTACTTAAATTTATTTAATCATTTATATAGAAGGCTTGTTTGGTGATACCAGATACCTGTCATAAGGAGAATGAAGTAACATGCATTGCTCAGGTGTGAGTTTCTCACAGACTTCAACAGAGTGTAAAAATCTTGATGGTTCTGTGGGTCTCGTCTATAAAATCTGAGCTTTATTTTGTATTTTCTATTGGATTCATATCAGGTAATTGGCTGGGCCATTCTACAGCTTAATTGTCTTTCTCTGAAAGCATGTGAGAGTTTCCTCGGCTGTGTTTTGTTCATTGTCATCCTCCTGATAATGTAGATGCTGGACTAAAGCAGTTGATATTCATTTACACTGATGAAGGGCGGAGGGTTGATGAGGAACTACTAAGAGATTTTCAGCTGAGATGAAAGCTGGGCTTTCACTGCCTTTCTACACCTCACTTTCTTCATGTGTTCAATACTTTTTCCTTGCAGAATTTCTTTTTAATACAGATAACTTCATTTGTGAAGTAATTAAAATTATTTTCTTTGCATATTTGGAGTTCTGTGGTTCTGTGGCATGTACCATGTCTGGTGTGAACACAGCGTTAGAGTTTTTAGTATAAATGCACTACTTACACTATTTATAGCAGTGTTTCTCAACTGGTGGGTCATGACCCAAAAGTGGGTCGTGGAGTGTGTGATCAAAAAAACAAAAAACAAAGTTAAACTCATTTTAAACAATATTTTAACTAATTTTTCTTATATTGGACTTTTATTTTGAAATGCGCGTCCGACAACCGTACCGTTTGACATGTAAAATTTCATTTAATTATAGCAACAAATATGTCGAAGCACAAGTACGACCTCGACTATGTAAAGTATGGATTAACATATATTGATGACAATAAAGGCTTAAAACCTCAGTGTGCCGTATGTACGGAGATGCTCTCACAGGAGAGCATGAAACCTTCAATTGAAACGACATTTAGAAACCAAACATCCCAATTGCAAGGACAAACTGTGGACTATTTTCAAAGACGACTCCAAAAGCTGAGGGCATCAGAAAAGTCCTTAACATCTTTATGTTCAAAACAAGTACAGGTACTCCACGCATCGTCCTGTGTAGCTCACCGTGTAGCAAAGACCAAGAAAGCCCACACAATAGTAGATGAGCAAATAACTGGTGATTATTATAAAAATGATTGTGATTATGTTAATCATTTTACTTTAATTTGCTGGTTTGTTCTGTTCAACAGGATCATGTGTTAATGTTTTTTAACAGTTTAGTTTAGTTAATGGTAATTGAACTTTTCCTTACCCTAACCACTGTTTACAGTATTTGACGTTTTTACTCTGCAATATTACTATGATTTGATACATTTTGATTTATCTGTCACTACTTGTGTATGTTAACAAATAAATACAAATGAATTATAATTCCTAAAATTATATTATAGTTCCTAAAAATTTGGGTCGCGGCTTGATGACCATGAAAAAATGTGGGTCCCATGGCCAAACCAGTTGAAAACCACTGATTTATACTACAAAATGGTGTAGAATAGTGCTTAAGTATGCGATTTGGGACGCACCCCATATTCCATGGATCAGCTCTTGCATAAAAAAATGAATATGACAACACAATTACTCTCTCTTTCATTCTCCACTATTCTCTCGGTGCGTATGGAAAGCAGAGCGGTTCACAAGCAGCAGTGCGCTGGTTAATTAGTGTGCCGTAATTAGGGTGTCTCTGTCACTCTGTATGTCTGTAGCGTAAAAGAAGCGCGCGCTTCAGATTGAGATGAAAACCCACGACAGGAGAGACAGATCTGTGTGAGACTGGCGAAGGAAAAAGCCCTAGCTATGACCAGGGAGAAGCAGAAGAATGAAAAACTGGCTGCAGTAAAAGTTGTCAAAGACATCCTGATGGCTCATTCCCTGGTAAATTTACTCTGGACTCACATTAACTCACACAGGCCAGAGAGTGTCAATGCATTTCTGCAAGTTTTTTTGTATTTGTACTGCGCTGCGAAGCCTATACAAGCTCCGTTAGGAACCAATTAAAACTGTGAGGTTATCTGTGTGTGTGCGTGTGTGTGTGTGTGTGTTTGCATGCTGACTCAGAAAAGTAAGTCCCTATGCATCCACCATCTGTTTGCCACGGCGTGTTCCTCGTTGAACAATAACAACAATGGCAAAAAAAAGAACACCAGTAGGGAAATGACACACACACACACACATACACATACACGTGCACACACCTTCTCTGGGTTTTGCTCCAGGTAATCTCTCACTGTTTTCAGGGCAACTTCGACCGCTTGATCAGGTGGGTATCCTGTAAAACACACACACATGCACACGTACACACAAAACATTCAGATTTACTCTTTAGTGCTCTGAACTGGAAAATACAGTACACTGACTTTAAAAAATAACAATATGCTGACTTCACTGCAGATAACTGAAGACATTTCATTGATCTCCTTTTACAAACATTGAGAGATTATTGTTTTTATATCTTTTGCTAATCTAATGAAAAATGTTGAAAAATATTTTTCAGAATAATTTTGGTCATTTAGTACAAAGTTAGCAATAATTATTAGCAAGCAAAAAAATGAATAAAACTTAAAATTTTGAAGTAGATGTGTTTATTTATTGTTTTTGCAAAACTTTGAAATCTTTATTTCATTTAATTTGATTGATTACAGTGCCGGGTTTTGAATAAAAAACAAAATAATGTTTAGATTGCGATTACTATAATTACAGTACATTGTGCTGATTGATAAATTACAATAATTACAACTAAATGCATCTAAATTAAGAAAGTATCTTTACGTTACTATGGCAGATGAAAGCATTAATGTTAATGTTGACCTTACTAACATTATGAAATTAATTATATTTTAAAATTTATATCACAACAAACTGCATGTAAATTTCAGGCTTATTTTAAATACGTACCCAATTATACATTTCTGGAGAGCACCAAATACGTCCCAGGAGCTATGCTTGTTGCTTTTTTTCTTCTCGCGAATCCACTAGAGGCTGCTGTGTATGCTTTTTTAGATCTTTAATTTGAATCAGATCTAATCCCAGTTTTAATCAGATCAAATCAGATCTCAGTTCCATGTAAATCCACCAGAGGCTGCTTTCGACTGACTGACTGACTAATCGACTGACCCACCCTCCTTCTTCCTAAACCCAACAGACGGTTTTAAAAAGCAATCCAGAAAAATAAAAGCTCTTGCCTAATTTTTTTTCCATGTTTTCAGATTTTATCACATTCTCACCCTGTTGTTTACATGTTTATTTAATTTTTTGGTTTTATTTTTGTGTTATCGGCTTTCTGGAACCGTTCTTCACCAGACTCGAACCCTGTCATCATGGTCAACTCATCTCTGCGTCTCAAGTTCGCCAACGTACATGGTGAGCTACTGAACAAAATGGTAATAGCGAGAAAGTTGTCCATACTAAGGTAAGCAGTCAGCTGCTAGTGCGGAAAGGAACGGCATCATACCGCCCCGTAATGTCCGTTTTGAAGACAACTACATAATTTCTGGCTACATAATTGGCAGTTGCAGGAAATGTATTAAAGGCTACATTTTCAGAATGAACCTATGTTGCACCGTGACCCAGGACCACACAACTAGTCATGAATGTCCATTAGAATTCGTTAGAATTTTACAATATTAAAATCTGTTTGAAGATTTGAGGATTAAATTTGAGGATTAAAAATAAATAAATAAATAAATAAACAAAAAAAGTCACCTTTAAACTTGCCCAGATTAAGTCCTAAGCAATGCATATTACCCATCAAAAATTTAATTTTTTATCAACCCAGGCTAGTTCTGAAAAATGTACCACTATATACATTTCTGCAGAGCACCAAATACATCCCAGGAGCTATGTTTTTTTTTTTGCAGTTTTTGTTCATTTGAGGCCAATGTGTACGGTTTTTCAGACCTCAAATTTCTCTCACCAGTTCTATTTGTGCCTGCTGTTCTGGAGTAAATTCACTAGAGGCCGCTGTTGACTGACTGACTAACTGATAGATTGACTGATCGACTGACACACCCTCCTCCTTTTTTAACCACATTTTCAGATTTTACCACATTCTCACGCTTTAATTTACATGTTTATTTTATTTTTCACCTTTTGTTTTTGTCTTTGCCGGACTCGTATCTCATCATCATAGTCAACTACTGTCATCTGAAGTCCGCCAACGTACATGATGAGCTAACTGGACAAAATGGTAACAGTAGAAAAGCAGTCCAGGCGGAGTTAACCGATCAGTGCAAAAAGGAACAGCGTCAAACCGCCCGGTAGCATCCATGACAAAATATAGCCACACGTACTTCTGGCTACATAATTCGCGTTCTCCAGATATATATATATATATATATATATATATATATATATATATATATATATATATATATATATATATATATATATATATATATATAGGGCTATCTTTTCAGAATGAGCTTATGCCGTTTTAAATACATACTGAAGTAGATTTGAAATATGTATTGACGTAACAAAATCTTCTAGTGATTTTTGACATAAAAGAAAAATCTATCATTTTTATCCATACAATGTATTTTTGGCTATTTACAGCATACATTTCTGCATTCAGTAAACTGCCTTTGGCCAACAAATCTATGTTTTATTTCCATGCTTTTCTTGCTGCCATGCAATTGAGCATTTGAATCCTGAATTAATTATTCAGCATGTAATTAAGCATAATTGACTATATTAACTACAGTCCATACATTAAAAATGTACAACTAAACTGTAACCTTGTGTTGTTTTATCTCATAATAAATCTAATTTAATGAATGCATTAAACTGACAGCCTTAAAGTAAATGCAACAGAGCAAAACTACCCCCAATCATTATAAAGAACATGAACTGAAGTGACGTAATTTGTATGATTAAATGAGAGATGACAGACATCCACGCGTTCACACCTTGTCAGCACTTTTAGCCCATATTTTCAACATGAACACTTGAGAAGGAACCACTGGCGGTGGTTGTTTTCCAGCTGAATCTGTTTGCTTGGTTCATTTTTGAGTTTAATCTCGACACGTATAGCTAAGAAGAGGGATTATAATCACAGTGACATCCTCTCGCTTTTAATCTCTTGTCTAATCCCAGCCTTAATCTGAAAATCCCTCATACTTCTGCAAGTGATCTCCACTTCCAGAATTCCTCAAATCAGGCTCCGACTGCATAAACGCGATTTAAGAAAGACACAAACATATGAACGAGGGTCACATCAAGGCTCGTATATTAGGTTATAGCATCAAAAATACAGTTAGGTCCATAAATATTGGGACATAGACACAATTCTAACATTTTTTAATCTATACATCAACACAATGGATTGAAACTGAAATTATCAAATGTGCTTTAACTGTAGACTGTCAGCTTTAACATGAAGGTATTTACATTCAAATCAGGTGTACGGTATAGGAATTACAACAGTTTGCATATGTGCTTCCCACTTGTTAAGGGTCCAAAAGTAATTGGACAACTGGCTTTTAAGCTGTCCCTTGGTCAGGTGTGTGTTATTCCCTCATTATCCTGATAACAATGAGCAGATAAAAGGTCCAGAGTTCATTTCAAGCATGCTACTTGCATTTGGAATTTGTTACTGTCAGCTCTCAAGATGAGATCCAAAGAGCTGTCACTAAAAGTCAAGCAAGCCATCATTAGGCTGAAAAAACACACCAAACCTATCATAGAGATAGCAAAAACATAAGACAAGGCAAAAACAACTGTCTGGAACATTCTTAAAAAGAAGAAACGGTCAGCTCAGCAACACTAAAAGACCCAGAAGACCACAGAATCAACTGTGGTGGACGACGAAAGAATTCTTTCCTTGGTGAAAAAAACCCTTCGCAACAGTTGGTCAGATCAAGAACACTCTCCAGGAGGTAGGTGTATGTGTGTCAGAGTCAACAATCAAAAGAAGGCAACACCAGAGTGAATAAAGAGGGTTCAGCACAAGATGTAAACCATTGGTGAGCCTTAAAAACAGGAAGGCCAGAGTAGAGTTCTAAAGGCCTACTCACACTATGACATCCGTACCGTGCCCAGGCCCGTTTCCCGGATCGTTTGAGAAGTGTGAGTGCGCTGAATCGGGCTCAAGCACGGTTTACTTGGCCAAAATGCGCCAAAGCCCGAAACTGAAAGCGAGACGTAACTTTTAAGGGACTGTTTCATATGGATTTATTAAGGCCCGATTGTGGTGTGAGTGCGGGCCGTCGGAGGAGATGGGAGGGGGGACAAGCGTGCTTTGGCCTGGTTCGAGGCAACTGTACCTAGTGTGAGTACAGCCTAAAAAAGCCTTCACAATAATGGAACAACATCCTATGAACAGATGAGATCAAGATCAACTTGCACCAGAATGATGGGAAGAGAAGTGTATGGAAAAATAAAGGAACTGCTCATGATGCTAAGCAGTGAAGCATGGTGGTAGTAGTGACATGGCGTGGGCATGTATGGCTATTAATGGAACTGGTTTTCTCGTATTTATTGATGATGTGACTGCTGACAAAAGCAGCAGGATGAATTCTGACGGGTTTCAGGCAATAATTTTTACTCATATTAAGCCAAATGCTTCTGAGCTCATTGGACGGCGCATCGCAGTGCTGATGGAGAATGACCCAAAGCATACTGCAAAAGTAACCAAAGAGTAAAATAATAAGTGGAACATGCAATGTGCCAAGTTAATCACCTGACCTGAATCCAATTGAGCATGCATTTCACTTGCTGAAGACAAAACTGCAGGGAAAATGACAATCTACAGTTAAAGCACATCTTGTTTGTTTCATTTCAAATACATTGTGTTGGTGTATAGAGCTAAAAATGTTAGAATTGCTCCGATGTCCCAATATTTATGGACCTGACTGTATTTGCCTACTTATTTAAACGTTTTACCTTGTTATGTCTGAGAAAATCAAAATAAGAAGCTCAGCTCTTAGAACATAGTAAACAAAGTAAGTGTATTCATGTTCACATCCTATAATTTATTGTTATGCCCTACTGGACTCCATTTAAAAGCCAGAAACTTTTTTGTAAAGGGTTAACGCTGCCAACTGATGATCAGCAGTAAAAATTACACATTTTACCTCCTCCCAACAAGAAAAACAAACAATCAAGAATGATTATTTTCTGTCATGGATTTGCAATCAAAAAATGTGGTTATAAGGGAAGTCAATGGGGTAACAACAGCCCTGAACATAACGAAAGGGTAGTCAATTTGAACAATACACAAGGATCAAGGCATGCGTCCTAACTAAAGGTTTGTTAATAGCGAGAACTGTAGTTTAAGGGTGTTTTCACACCTGCCTTATTTACTTCGGCTGAATGGCACTAGAGTTTGTTTTCCCTCTTGGTGCGATTCATTTGGGCAGGTGTGAATGTAGCAATCGCACTCGGTGCGCACCAAAAGTGTACCGAGCCCTCCTTGAAGAGGTGGTCTTGGTACACTTTCAAACAAACCCTGGAGCGGTTTGTTTGTGGTGAGAACATGATCCGAACTAGAACTGATCCAACCGCAAAAAGTTCTGCGCCTTCTCTGACTTTTCAAGTCCCATTCTCTCAAATTCAAGGACCCAACACAGCATATTGAGAATGTTTATAATGAAAACTTGTAGGCGTTACTACTCATAGAAAACAATTTGAAAAAGAAAGAGAGAGAGAGCGAGGGAAAAACATTACCTGATGGATCATTGGCAATATTTCCGGAAGATGACCATGTCGCAGTTTAGCTAAATTAATTCACGCCTCCTCCTGAAGTGACTTGAGATGCACCTATGTTGTTCGCAATGCCTTAAAACATTGTTTTCCAGCCGCAGCTGTATGGAGACAGATTAGACTCAATAATAATTCACGCAAAAGACACGATGTACACATGCGTTTGCTCATGAGGCTGAAAGACAATAAATAAGAAGAGCGGAGCTGTGGCAAAATAATGGATAAAAAGAGTGAGGCTATGGTCAAATAATTAAATAAATGAAAAAAAAGTGCGACTGTGACTGCTGCTTTATCCGTTCGCCATGCTGGAGAGAAACAGTCTACGCAAATGAAGCGCAGAGTTGGTGTCATTGACTACAGCTCTCATCTGATTGGCTGAAAGGTACGAGCTGCCCTGCCTCTGCCAGGAGAGTCTCAAAAATACACACACACGTATCCAGCGGGTGTCGTACGTGAAAGAGGATTTGCACATTCTCATTCAGGATGAACTCGCAAGTTTTAAAGATTCAAAACTTTTTGCACACTCTTATACATTTGAAAATCGTGTTTTGCATTTGTGAAACGTATTTTATGAAAATGTATTTTTATTCTGTGCACGTGAACATTTTTTGTAAATATAAATAAATATTTTACGCACGTGAATTTGATTTTATGCACAAGAATTTGGCTACGCATGTGTACATCGTGTCTTTTGCGTGAATTTCTTTTGAGACTAATCTGATTCCATACAGCTGCACTTCATTCTCGAAATGTAGTTTGTCTAAAGTGATGTATACAAACTATATAGAATACTATGAGCAGGGATACAATTAGCCAGCGCAATTGTTCCTCCATAGTAAAAAGTTACATGTTGTGTCTGCCGGTTTGTTTACTTGACGGAGTTCTATTCCATTTTCCCACACGTAAATTCTGACCAATCGAAAAGCAGTTTAGGAAATACGTTCAATAACATCTGGCCAATGAGTAATGTGGATTTTGTCACATGACTGCATTTTGGTTCTTTTCAACTGGTTCGGACCAAAGCAATTGGTGTGGTGGTGTGGTGTGAAAAGGACCTAAAAACGGAAGAAAAATGCTACAATGTATCATTTATTGCCCTTACTCCAGACCAAATGAACCAAACCACAGATGTAAAAGCACCCTTAAACACAACCAAACATACACCAAAATCTAATCTAACTAATTGAATGAAATAGGCTTCAATTCCTAAAAAAATAAAAATGGCTAAACTGAAATAAAAATGAAAATCCAGTGGCTAATCCAGAATGTAATTAAAAATGCAATTAAAAATAAAACACAATTATTAATTACTAATCAACCTAAACAAACCCAGAAATGATGGCTTAAGTTGAAGTACTGTAATTACTAAATAAAATAAAACTGAATTCAAGAAAATAAAACACTTAAAAACACAACTAAGAATGCAAACACAAGAGCAGAGGTCACATTACAATAGAGGTTGAGAAACGCAGCATTGATTATGTTAGATAGAGCATCATAAATGTAGGCTCATAAATGCGGTTAATGAATGATTGTATGGTTTAAATAATAAATGAGTCTATTGAAAACTCTAAATCAGTCAACCTGTAATCAATTGCACACACTCATTTAGAGTCTATGAGCACAAAAGACATATAAGTAATTGATGCAAGACAAAACAATTAAATATGAAAAATAAACATTGATTGTGTAGAGAAAGGAAAAAAAAAGCTATTTAATTTCCACCCACCGTAAACTCCAGTAGAGATGCAGGGAAAAGCCTGGAAAACAACAAGAAGAAGAAGAAATAAAACAGAAATATAATTAAAAGTGCGAAGAATTGTTCTCTCATCTATAAAGTCTACGCCTTGTGTTATAATAAAAGAAATTAAGGCACTTATTTTTGGCCCTATTAGCACAAAACCACAACAAAAACAGCTTTTACAAGAATGTAAATTGATTAATTACAACCTATTAAACATACAATCCATTACTAATGACAATGAGCCACTTGCGACCCGGGATTAAGGCCTTAAAAACAAAAGGTTTGCTTGAAAATGAATGTACTGAGTCGCAGGCAATTGTTGCTACTCTTAAAGCGCAGCACGTTTGGATAGCACTTTGAAATCAATTAGGGGAATAAAAAATTCTGCCATTTACTCACACTCATGTTCCTCCAAAAGCCTGAATGACTTGCTTTATTCTGAGGAACAAAACGAGCTACAGCGCTGAAAGTCCTGAAGCCACTTTAGTGAAGGATGATAATGAACTGAGGCCTTCATGTTCACTTCATTCTGTTCTGCAGCTTTCAGGACAGTGATAATACTCATAATACTCTTAATAATTTAAATATATTTTTAAACACCAGTCATTTTTTAGCTTAATGTCCATGCAGTTTTATTTTAAAGACAGTAAAACTATTAAATCAAGTTTTAAAAAAATATTTAGGACAAATAACCTTTCTGCTTTAGGTAACATACTGGAACCAAAAATGTTACCTTGCTAGCAAACTGAAGTACTGTAGACTACCTGACAAAAGTCTTTTCGTCAATCAGTTGTAAGAGCAACAAATAATAACTTGATTTCTAGTTGATTATTTGGAAAAGTTGCAGAAGGTCGATTTGTTTGATGAATCATCTGTTGAGCTGCATCCCGATCATCACAAATACTGCAGAAGACCTACTGGAACCCACATAGACCCAAGATTCTAACAGAAATCAGTCAAGTTTGATGAAGGAAAAATCATGGTTTGGGGTTGTATTTAGTATGTTGGTGTGCGAGAGATCTGCAGAGTGGATGTCAACATCAACAGCCTGAGGTATCAAGACATTTGGGCTGCCCATTACATTACAAACCACAGGAGAGAGCAAATTCTTCAGCAGGATAGCGCTCCTTCTCATACTTCAGCCTCCACATCAAAGTTCCTTAAAGCAAAGAAAGTCAAAGTGCTCCAGGATTGGCCAGCCCTTTTACCAGAAATGAACGTTATTGAGCATGTCTGGGGTAAGATGAAGGAGGAGGCATTAAAGATGAATCCAAAGGACTTGATGAGCTCTGGGAGTCCTGCATGAACGCTTTCTTTGCCATTCCAGATGACTTTATTAATAAGTGATTTGAGTCATTGCAGAGATGTATGGATGCAGTCCTCCAAGCTCATGGTAGTCAGACACAATATTCATTTTTCATCCACTGCAGCAAGACTTTATATTCTATACTGTACATTATTTCTGTTAAGTGACAAGACTTTTGTCTAAGCAAAGTCAGACCTTACTGTCCTAATGAAATCATTATAAATCAAGGCATGATCATATTTTTATTTTGGTAAAATAAGCATAATCTAGAGGCCTTTGCCTTTCATATAAGCCACTTCTGATACCAAATGATCAACTAGAAGTCAAGTTATTATTTGTTGTTCCTAAAACTTGGATTAGTTTAGACTTATGTCAGGTAGTGTAGGTTTAAATTTATATAAATAAAGGTAAAGACATTGTATTAGTCATATACAAAAACTAATAGATAAGACAAAATAATTGTCTCTCCTGTGATGTATATTAGTTATATTTCAAATATAAGTGATGTTAAACAGAGCAATCATCTTATTTCTTTTTTTTCTGTTGTAATAAAAATAACGTAAGAAAAAACTGTTCATGTCATTTTTTCCTGATTGTTTTGCCTAATTATCAAGATAAGCCTTTAATTTGCACTAATCTGAATGCAAGTATCTTGCTAAATTACTAGAAAAATATTCTCTGTACTGTCATCATGGATAAAAGATAAATCTAAGAAATTAGTTAATAAAATTATTATGGTTAAAAATGTGTTGAAAAAATCTTCCCTCTGCACTCGGGAAATATTAGAAAAAGAGTTAAACTTTCACAGGACGCAGAGTTTCTGCAGGTTTGTTCAAATCAAACTGAAGACACTTTTAAGACCATTATAAATGAAATTTTCGACTTGTATAGGGCTAAACACTAAATATTTTTTCTAATGGTCCGCTTACGTCAGTAAATAGCTTTTGTATTAACTAAAAATCCTATAAAGAGATGTGTTGCTTTAGTTTTCTTTCCATGATTTTGAAAGTTTTAGTAAATTTTGTTGTAAAAATGTCTAACAGCTGTTGTGAATTGTAACTCTTTGCCATAAAAACTTAAATATAAAACAAGTTTTGAAATGGATTCTGAGTGATTGGGTATTGGCCTAATTTGGTAGCTTTACTTGTGATTAGGGAAATTAAGACCTGTTTAAAACGATTTAAGACCTACAACACAGTATTTTAATAAATGAAAAAAAAATAATTTAAGGCCTGAAATTTTGTTTTTGAATTTTGAGACATCCTGAGGAAGGTTAATAGCTTTGTCTTTAATTGTAAATAACATAACAAAAATAAACTAAGACCTAAAATCAAAAACGGAAAAAAAAAATGCAATAAACAATATTTTCAAAATTGTATGATTATAAGTTTACAAGAAATCAAATTTTTGTTTTTTTGTACTTTGTTTTTGTATCCATATAAAA